CCGCTCAGCAAGCCCCAGGCATTCGCTTGGCTTGGGCCCACTTAAGCTTGTAGTGTGGCATGTTGCTTATTTGCATGGCGTGGCATGTGTGCAAGTGCATATGACGAACTCTTGCGTACCCAAGTTGAGTTTCTTCCCAAGTTAGGTGTCGTATTGGGCTAAAAATATATTTGAGCCCAGCCTTGGATTTTTTGGGCCTTAACACTTCCACACAAAAAAATAAAAATAAAAAACTAAAAAAAACTTCACAGCTTCTTCTTTCTCTTAAACTCTGATTTTCTAGTAAGTAATCACCATCATTCATCAATCTCTTTGGTTCTTTTTTCAATCCTTGGAAATTTTTTATTATTCTTTCAAATTCATGAATTTCAACACCAAAAAGCGAAAACCCTAATTCCTAAATTCATAAAAACCACTCAAAATCATATAGTCAGATTCAACCAAATCTCAATTCAAATCCAAGTACGCATCTAAATTTCAATTTATATATATTACATGACTTATTTTATTAAATAATTAACATGTTGATAATTGGTTATATAAGAAAACATAGTTTTTAGAAATATTTATCTATTTCTTGTTGGGGTTATCTTCCAGGTTATAGGGTTTTGGAATTTTTCTTTGTAATCCAAACATGCCAGTGCCACCTACTAGAAAATACGTTTCTGAATATACAAAACGACTTAGAAAAAGAAAAATCAAGGAATTGACTCAATCTCAAAGAGGAGCTCTATATAGATTCATTGTTAAAGAATCACATGCTACAATTGATGAAAAAATTTCCAATGAACACAAGAAGATGATGTTGAGGAATTGCAAGATATTGAAAACATTATGGATGAATGTGTGGGTAATGTTGAGCATAATGAAAATGTATGTTGTTTTATGATATTAAGGTATGGCAAAAAAAAATTATAGTATTTTCGTATTAGATTATGTGAGGCCCCAATTTAAGTTTCACACAGGGTTCTCAAAATCTTAAAGATGGACCTCATCTAATCCCCACACCCCTACAAAGCTCCCATCCGAGCAACCCCAACTCACCAACAACCATCCAACCAAAAACCAACTTCAACCACAACCACTAATTAACGCCAACAATCAGATCCAGTCCCACAGTGCCAACGAATGACACACATCAAAACTGAAAATTGGGGTTTAATCAACCACAATATTTATGCAATAAGTACACGGATATGTTCCAAAATATCCCTCTCCCCAAAAACGATAATATCCTCGATATTATTGATATTTCAGTCCTTGCTTGAAAGATCTCGTGTAGAACCAAAAAAAAACTTTTTGTCTTTTCTGTTAAATTCAAGAGCAAATTCGGAAAATTTTCACATAATTTTAAAAAATAAATCAACATCATAATATGGTGGGAGGAGTCATTTAGTGAGTTTTGAGTCACTACAAGGAAAAATGTGATTAGCGACAAATTAATGAGCGACCAAATAATTTTTGGTCTCTGATAATGTAAATGGCGACCAAAATTTCCTATACGGTCGTCTAAACTTTGGTTGGATTTTTGCACATGCGGAACCTTTTTGGAATATGTTCAGCGACGAGAAGTGGCACATTGTACGACGAACCTTTTAGTCTCTAAAACGGATTTGGGCGACCAAATATTATTTTCGTCTCTAACCAATGCTTTGGGATAAGAGCTAGGTGGCGCGAAATCTAAAATTATTAGGCGACCAAACTTTTGGTCGCTGTGTTGGTTCATTTTCGTCGCCATTATTATATTCCCGCCTAAAATTTGGCAATAACAAAGCGACCAAAAGGGTAGGTCTCTAAAACCTTTTGGCGACCAATACTTTTAGTAATACGACAGCGTTTTAATATAAGTGGTCATTGCAAAGGGACGACAAAAAAAAATTTGGTCGTTGGAAAGGGTGCGCAATAAATTCCCTGGCTCTATTATCTTTTCTTCCCGTTTACTTCAAAATCAGAGAACACTTTGCCTTCAGACCAAAAAATATAAAAGGCAAGAGAAACTTTGCTTTGTTCAACCAAACGCTCTCTCACTCACTCTCTCTGTCATCTCTATAACCTAGAGAGATGATGTGAAGCCACACCTAGTGCAACTGATCATCTTTACATCCCATTCTCTCACTCACACTCTGTCTCTCTGCTCAACCCCAAATCTCAGCCATCCACCAACCCAATATCAAAACCCACTCCTCCCTTTGTCTCTGAGGTCAAGTGAAAATCCAATCCGAAGCTTTCATAATTTGCATTCAGCTTTTTTATCATCAGTCAAGGAGCAGAATTTGAAAAAGGTAGTTGCTTTAACAAATAATTTTTGTATTTCCTCTAAATTTCATCTATATTTGTTCGATTGTGGTCTGATGATGGTCCAAGGTTATGTTTTTCTTTAATTTTTGTATTGTATTTGAGCTTATTAGATGACAAAACTTTGCACTTATTAGACTGTAATAAGTTTGTGCATTTGGGGTCCAAGGTCTGCTAATGGTGAAAGGTTCGATTGTGGTCTGATGATGACAAAATTTTGATATTGTCCAACTGGAGAACAGATTGCAGATATATTTACTAAGGGTCTCAGGATGGATGCGTTCATGAAGCTGAAGAAGATGATGGGAATGCAGAGTTATGATGAGCTTGGTTTAAGGGAGGCTGTTGAAAGTTAAACCAAGCAGGAATCCAAAGTTACTTTATCCATTTTGTAAAAGCATGTGAGCATGCTGTAGGCTAGACTTGTTTGTTTATTAACTCAATAGGGTATTTTGTTTTACCCTATAGGCATGATGTCGGTTGATGTCCTCTAGGGAACTTTTCTCTTTTGACTAAAAGTTTGTCTCTCAAAGAGACGTTGGTCTCTTGTTTTGTAATGAGAGTGTTGTTGTAAAAACTATTATTATTGAATGTGAACTAATCAGACGGCAAAAGCCTTTCTTCCATATTCTCTCTGAGTTTCAAGCTAGAGTCTTCTTCCTTCTATTCTCTTCCGTGTCTGTGAGTTTTTACTTGCTTGCTGTGTTGTTTGGTTGTTTGTTTGTGAGTTAGCTGCCGTGAGTTTTTTTTAGTTTATTCTACAGTGAAGCTGCCAGACCAGTTGAATTTTGGGGTCAACAATAGCACTAGTAACAACTGATGTGAAGCAGAGTGCTTAAAGAATTGTTCTTGTGTAGCTTATGCTAATACAGTTATCATTAATGGAGGCAGCAGCTGTTTGATGTGGTTTGGCGACCTAGTTGATCTGCGAGAATTCGTTGAAGAAGATAGTCAGCAAGATATATACATTCGGCTGCCACTTCCAGAACTAGGTAAGTGACTATTTTGCTTTAGTAATGTTAGCTCCTGATCTTATAAAGTCAAATCCTTAATCCTGAAGACGCAGTACATAAGGTTTTAGGAATGCACTAGTAATGTTCAGGTCATCAAATATGTAGATTTCGTGCTTTCATTAAGCGACAACTAAATTATGACAAATATGTATGAAATTAAGTAAAGAAGAATCTAATCTTGGGGTCCAAGGTCTGCTAATGGTGAAAGGTTCAAATAATGCAAAGAAAATGGAACATCATATATTAGAAATTTGGGGATTTAAATACATAGTGATAAAACTATCTCTTCACATCAATTGCTCCCAATGTTACTGACTACAAGTTACATAGTGATATTAGAAAATTATGATGTCTTGTTTTGTTGAATGATGAGCTTTAGTGGTGAAAATTAATATTGTTTTGGTGATCAGGTCCTCAAAATGGTTTGCACACAAAGGAGGGCTTGATTTGGATACGAGTTCTGATTGAGTTGGTCCTGATTCAGAGCTTATTTGGGACTGGTTTATTAAAAGGTTAGAGTATAAAAATTCTTTTAGAACCTTTGTTTGGATATTGGCCAAAATTGTGAGTGTTTGATGCACTAAACTTGTGCAAGTATGCACTTGCAAGGTTGAAATTAGAGTTTTGGGTCTCTCCAAACACACTAAGTCTGGTATTTTTATTATTTGACTTTTACTGGTTTGAATTTTATTTTCTAGCATTGATATAATTTTCTCATTTGTCTCCATTTTTCTGTAGATTGTTGAATTGCTTGTTTAAGAGGAACTTTTTTAATTTATGCAATTTTTCTGTTGGTGGATTTGTAGTTAAGGTTTTGTGGGTTATGAAAATTTACAAATTTTGCTGGATTTGTATGATTGCATATTATTTTTGATGAATTGATAAGTGATATAAAAATTCTAAATACATATTTAGTAATTGAATAGATTCAGTACTTCGGAAAAGAAAAAAAAACACAGATTCAGCAATTAGACAATAGGATTTAGATGTTGGGATGTTGGTAATTCATTGAGGGCCAGATTTTTCAAGGGAGGCTATGATAATTTACCCAAAGTAAAACCAAATGCAAGCAAAACACTTACAGTTTACAGCTACAAAGAGATGAGGTAATTTCAAAGGCATAAGAATAAGTAATATTGTAATAATATTAGAAAATAAAAATTCTAAATTTTAATTGAAGAAAAAGAACGATCCTATTAATATAGTTTTCAAAATTAATCTCCCTCTAACTCAAATAACTAATATTTTATAGTAGGTTACTATCTCAAACGTGTTATTTGGATAATACTGTAATAAGCAGGAAATGGATACTATGGGGCAAGCAAACATATTACGTAATACATCTAAATGCTCTTCACTCATATATATTTAATTGTTTGTTTTGGTTATGCTATGGAATTGTTGTATTTTTTGACATTATGCATTGGCTTTAAACTTTTGTGATTAGCACAGTCCGTAAGAGTTCACATTAGGTTTCACCCTAGAATTCATTTGAAGTAGTTAACTACTCAGTAATTAAGATACTTTAGACCTGTTGCAGATGCTAACTATCGCACAGAATATGCATTCTGGAATGGGATAGGGCCTTACCGGAGTCATAAGGAGACAAACTTGTATATTGATTGTATAAGGAGACAAAACAAGTCATGGATGAGATATGACATCATCTAAATTGTGTTACTGGATGGTATAATGGATAAGCAATGGATTTGGGAAAGAAACCGATTGAGTAAACGTTATACAGATGGTATTCAATCATTTATGGAAGCAGCAAGTCAGCACGTAAATGACAAGAATGAGACCAAATGTCCCTGCATGAAGTGTCAAAATATGCAATTGCATGATCTTGCAACTGTTCATGCACATTTATGGAAGAATGGGATGTCTGTGGTTTATCACACATGGATATATCATGGGGAATCATTTGAGATACCAACACAAACTTCAAATCTTCCATCTGGCTCCGATAATTATGTACATGATATGTTAAATGATAGATTTCCACGAGACATGGATCATGATCCACATGGGGAAGATATTATGGGTGATGATTATGAATCCAATGTGCATAGGGTTGAGGCAGGTAAGTATGAGAAGTTAATGGTAGAAGCTGAGCGAGAACTTTTCCCTGGAACTAGGGGCTGTTCTGTTTTAACATTCATGGTACAGCTCATGCTTAACAAGGTTGAAAACCATTGGACTAACAAATCGTTTGATACAATGTTAGAGATATGGAGTTCTGCCTGTCCTAAACCCCATAACATTCCACCATCTTATTATGCTACAAATAAGATGTTGAAAGATTTGGGTTTGGGGTTTGAAAAAATTGATGCGTGCAAGTATGATTGTGCTCTCTTTTATAAAGAGCATGAAAATAAGGATAAATGTCCGGAATGTGATGAGCCAAGGTATAAACCAAGTACTAGTGTCAAGAGGAAGAAGGTTCCACAAAAAGTGTTGCGCTACTTTCCTTTGAAGCCAAGATTACAACGATTGTTTATGTCAAAGAATACAGCTGCGTATATGAGGTGGCACGCTAATAAAAGGGTGGATGAAGAGGGTGTTATGAGGCATCCAGCTGACTCTATTGCGTGGAAGGAGTTCGATTTAATCTACCCAGAGTTTGCTCAAGAGCCACGAAATATCAGGTTAGGTCTTGCAACAGATGGGTTCAACCCGTTTGGAAATATGAGCCTTTCTTATAGTATGTGGCCGGTGATTGTGGTTCCGTATAATCTGCCACCTTGGATGTGTATGAAAGCACAATACTCAATGATGACTTTGCTTATTCCAGGCCCAAAAGCTCCGAGCAAAGATATTGATGTGTATTTGCGCCCATTGGTTGATGAATTGAAGGAGTTATGGGAACAAGGTGTGCCAACTTACGACAAGTTTACTAATTCTGGTTTCACTCTACGGGCAGCGGTTATGTGGACAATTAATGACTTTCCAGCTTATGGAAATTTGTCTGGATGGAGCACCAAAGGGTTTTTGGCATGTCCTGGATGGAGCACCAAAGCTCTCAGAAACTGTGGAGAAACTTTGTGACATCGTTAAGCAGCTGCAAGCTGGGATTAATGACAGATCTAGGAAGAAGCGTAAACGCAACAGTAAGTACAATGGTAAGGGACCTCGGCTCCAACCTGATTCTTCTGATTCTGATTCTGATTCTGCTTCTGATGATTCTACAACTAATCATCACGGTGACAACTTACAAGGTGGTGGTGATGGTTTGTATAATGGTCTTGAAGATATTGGTCATGGTCATTAGGTAGGTTTTAAACCTTTTGGTTGTTTTGGGTATGGATGATCTTGGTGATTTTGTGACTTTGATGGACTCAAATCCTACAATCTGACTTTGGTTTGTGGTTTTTGTTTCAAATCAAAGATATGTGTGATCAAGAATATGATTTGTACCTTTGGTCACATTGCTCATCCATATGTTAAGTAGTATATAGACTTAGCTGAAATTTTATGTAGGCTTTGGTATGAATGGATGCATATGCTTCTGTTGCTTGTGGCAACTGCTCCTAAGACTTAAAGAGATGAAGAAGTACTTTTGTGTGTTTTTGAAGGAAAGTGGAGGTACATGTGTAAGCTCTAACTTTTATTTATATTTCATATGTCTTAGTAGACATGACTTTGATCTTAGTTGCTGTGACTATGGTGATTTTGTTAATTATGCTATGTCACTATATTTTGCTTATGAATCTGTTTTGCTTATGAAAAGAAAATGTTGCATGGACTATGATATGTTTTTATGGTGATATATGTTGTGTACTTTGTAGAATTTTAGTTGGGGAAGTCTTATATATGGTAATTTTATTTGGGACATTTAATAAAAGTTTTATAAAAACTATATTAATTTAATTATATAAAAATAAAATAAAGCATATTATTAATATTCAATAAAATATATTTTTTAGTTTTTTAAAAAATTTAAAAAGCCTCAAAATCAACATCCTTGGCGACCAAATAACTTGATATTAGTGACAAAATAATTGAATATTGGCGACAAAATAATTCAATATTTGAGACAAAAACTTGGAACTAGACAGATTTTCCCGACCAAAGCTTTTATTATAAGCAACCAAAAATATTGACATTAAATATAAACCAAGACCAAATTTTTATTTGGTCCCCAATAAACATAACTTCAGCGACCAAATTTTACACTTTTGGAGACCCAAATAGTAGGACGCCAATCGTAAACTACGACCAAATATTTATTTGGTCGCCAATCCCTTGGACTTTCGCGCCATTTATCAATTTTAGGCGCCAAAGAGACAAGGGATCAACGACGAAATTATGAGAAATGGGCGACAAGAACTATTGGTTGCTTATGATAATCAACGACCAAAATAGCTTTTGGTCGTTGTTTCTAGTATCTACGACGCCCCTTCTACGACAACTAGATTGCGACGAAATTTTTGTCGGTAATAATAATCAGCGACCAAAAACATACATTGGGCGACCAAATATGATTCGTCGCCAAAAGGGTTTTTCCTTGTAGTGGCCTTTGAACATAAATTGTCCATTTTCTTACACCTATTGATTTCAGATCGAGCCCAAAACTTGGGCAACATCATAATATGGTGGGAGGAGTCATTTGGTTAGTTTTGAGTGAAATCC